TGTCTTGTTTCCACCTCGCTCTCCAGTGCCAGGTCTTGGTTGATGTTTGTAAGCTCCAGTGTGAAGCTATATTCTTCCTTTTTATGGCAGGATTATGGTTACTTTTACCCTCAGCCTTAGGCAGCTTATATCAGAATGCGATATCAGCAGCAAAGCAGTCTGCACAAGTTAAAGGACATATAGGGTGCCCAGGGCACTGCAGGTAGGGACTCACTACCAACAGGAGGCCTGGTCTGTGATGTGAGGGGCTCCATCCCCATCGGTCAGAAATAAGTGACCCAGCAAAGGAGAAAGAAAGAGGGAGCCTCTTGGTAGACAAGGTCTTGAAGCTGGGCTCGGGCTGGCCTCCTGAGTTTTGGGAGAAGCAGTGGGGAACCATGGGGCTGCGAGGCTTGGCTAGATTGCTGGCCCTTTGGACACCACACCTGGGTCAGCCTGGATCACAGGCAGGTGACCCGTCCTGCCTGCTAAATGACCTCTGTGCTCCTCTCTTGGCCTCCAAGAGCGTGGCTGGAGTCTCGTCTGGGAGCAAGCTCCATGTGAATACTTGAAAACCATGTTCAGAAGCCCGCCATTCATATAGCCATCTTGGGGTGGCATGTGCCTGCATTTCCTGTGCTGTCAGAACACATGCCATATATATATATGTTTTCCTGCTGCTTTGGTGATGAAGCTAGTTTCTGCCACCTCATGTAAAATTTTTATCTTTGAATATTTGCTGTTAGACATTTCTGCTTAACTCATCCATTTTCACTTTTAAATCATTTTCTAAAACTCTTTAATTTCCATACCTCTTTCTGAAGATTATAAAGAGATGATAGGAGTGCAGGTGGCTGGTGACTGTCAGGCCGCTGCTCACTGTTCTGTTTCCATCCTCTGATGCATGCTGTTTGCACTTGTAATTCTGTGCACATTTGGCTGCCTCCGTATGCATGTGCTCCTCACTGCTGGGGCATACACACTTTTCTTTGCTGCCTATGCTCCTGCTGCCTCTGCATCCTGGGGGCTCCAACCCCACAATTTTGTACAACACAGAAATAACCAATCTTTGAGATAGTTCTTTACTCCAGTGTTTTTCAGGTTATAGGTTGTGACCTGTTATTAGATTGTGAAGCCAATTTTATGTTACATTCACATAAAAAATAGACTATTCATCCTGTCCATCTGGTGAGGGCCATTGATGCATTGTGAGGCATTGTGAGTCATTGTGTGTGTTTGCATTGAGACCCTGGTTCATGATGTACAAGGTATGTCATGGTTGAACATATTTGCTTGTATTATACCATACCACTAGGCTTGCTTTTTTCTTTTTCTTTTGGTTTATTGAGACAGGGTCTCACTATGTAATTCGGGCTAGCCTTGAACTTACTATGTACCTCAGACTGGCTCAGACTTGCAGGGATTCTCCTGCCTCAGCTTCCTGAGTGCTGAGATTATAGGCATGTTCTACCACACCCAGTTACTACTAGGCTTTTATGAAAGAAATGCCAATTACAGTCTATCTCTGAGGCCACAGTTCAGTGCCCTGAGAAGACTCATCATGGCAAGGCAGGCCTGCAGAATCTGCTGGAGGAGATGCTCCTGGATATGGCATTTGTGGTGGGTGTCTCATCAGACCTGGCTGCTGAACATGAAGGATCTAGCTTGGAGTCTCGTGGGCTCCCCTGGTTCGCTCTTATGAATTATTCAGATCTCTTTGGAGACCCTCCCAGTTCCTAGGTCTAGATAAGTGTTGTGACTTAGATCTAAAATGTTCCCCTAAGCCTCAGATATTCAAAGGTGGGACGTTTGAAAGGTGAATTGAGTTAATTCATTGATGAGGTCATGGTTTAATGACATTATTTGGAGGTGATAGAAATTTAGGAGATGGGGCCTGGTTGAAAGGAGTAGGTGATGAGGGTGTGACCTTGGGGACTGTATCTTGTGCCTAGCCCCTTCCTCTCTGGCTCTTTCCCTTTTTCTCTGCTTTCTGGCTGCCATGAGGTGAGCAGCTTTCCTCCTCTACACTTTTGTACCATGATGTCCACCTCACCAGCAGGCAGTGGACCAGCTGCCCATGAATTGAAACCTCCAGATCTGTGAGGTTTTTTCCTGTAAACTTTTCCTTCTCTAAGTTGACTTTCTCAGGTATTTGGTTGCAGTGACAAAAATCTAATACAGTAAGGTCCTGTAGGATCCATCCATGTAACTCCACTGCTCACCCTCAAGGCACTGAGCTCTGTTTTTAGTCATATACTTATGAATAAGGTGATCTCATTCCTCATCTCCCTGCCTCACCCCCAGAATGTGACCTCCAAGGGTGGGTGTTGGGCCTGTATTTGCCCTTTTGTGCCTGCAGGATCTTGTGTCACACCCAGCACATGGTCAGCACCTCCTGTGCACTGATGGCTTGGACCTGAGCTGGCCCACAACTGCATGGCATCAGATGCTCTGCTGTAATTGTCTTACTCCACAGGAGGAGGAATCTGTAGGTACAGGGCACATGTGGGGAGAACAGGATCAAAGCTCTGAGAGTCCAGCAGAGACCTTGTCTTGTCCTGTATCTGCTGCTCTGCTTGGACACAGACCCACCCAACCCGTGTGCCTGGCCTGCCCCCTGCCCCATGCCAGGCATGGAATTGGGCAGGTGCATGCAGATGATGGGGATGAGACCTCCTGGGCATTTTGTCTGGCTTCAGTCTTTTTGGTGCAGGGAACAGATTTGACTTGTTGAGTGAGTTAGCACAGCTCTCCAGAGTCCTATCAGGCCACTGCTATGGACCTGGGAAGGCATCCAAGCCTGCGTGTGGTTTCTGTCACAGAAAGCATGGCATGGGAGGAGTCAGGGCCGTATGCTCCATGGCACAATGGTGTTTTCTACTCATCCCTGAAAACACGGGAGCATAAAGGGAGAGAGTGGGGGATCAATAAGTGTTTTTAGAGTTGTCTTTCCCTGGAAAACAGACTTCCAAAAAATGTTGTAGAAGCATTTCATTAAAGATAGAAGAAACGGCTGGCACTGGCCAGCTGCCATGGCGGGCATTTATCTGGGCCACAGCACAATCCCATAGCAAGGCTTGTGGGTTTTGGAGCTAACTTCCTACTTAAGAGGCTGGGCCTCTGTATCCCAGTATCATTTCCACGGCAGCCAGCTGAGATGAGATGGTCGATATCCCAGGACAGTTGCAGCAAGAAGCAGGTGAGCTCTGAGATAGAGACTTAATTCTTTGGCCTTGAGTAAATGATGGGCCCTGGAACTCAGCTTCCTCCTCTGCAATGGGAAAGGAGTATGCTGTCTCCTCAACTGTGTAGAGGGCTCACCCTGGGAAGGCCCTCTTGCAGCACCTACTGGCATCTGGGCTATCCTGAGCCTTCACCTCTGTACACATGATCATGTAGATGTGGCTCTCATATCATATTGTCACCTGGCTGGTTCCTGAGAGGGCCCTACCCAGCCCCAGGACCCCTGCACACACACAGGCCCTTGTGCTCATCCCAGAGAGCAGCTTGGGTGTGCCCTCCTTTGTTCAGGTGTCTGTACAGTCCCCTGAGGGAGAACATACAGATCTTATGCAGAGAGCAGCCTCAGACTGCCTGCCCCTCGGCAGCTTGGTGTTTCTTTTCCTGGGGTGGGTGGGTGCTGGGGATCAAACCCAGGACCTTGTACACACTAAGCCAGCCTGTATTTCATTATCACCCTCACAACTACTTGAAACTACGAGCTCCATTTGGGCAGGGTTGTTGCTCCTCCCTCTTTCTTTTGAGTTTGTTTGATCCACAGAACTAGAACTAGAGCCACAATGCAGTTATGTGGTAGAGAATCTTGTGCTTGGCATTATCAGCTGATCAGCCTTCTCATAGTCAGTGGATAGGCAGGCCACTTTGGGGTCCTCTCCAGGAAAAGACCTGTATGTGAGAAATGGCTGGATCCTAGCTGTGGTTTCTGGGGTGCCTCTGAGAGCCACATTATTTACTTTCTCTCTGGGGTCAGGCATGCTAATAGCTGCAAGTAACCCTGAGGCACTCTCACTGAGGGATGCTTTTCTGTCCTGTTCTTTGAGGGAGTTATCATTTTGTGTTATAGGTGCAGGAGAAACCATCCCTTCCCCCTGTTAATGTTAGATAGTTGAGTCTGCTGAACTAAGCAACAAGGAATGGAGGAACATGAGAAAAAATACAAATACATTCTGTGTATGGGGCATTCAGGGATGAAAAGTGATAGCAGGAATCTAGTGAGATATAGGAGCTCATGTCCCCTTTTCAAAGGTGAGAAGGAAGTGGGGCATGGGAGCAAATTAGAGGAAAAGTGAATGACTGTTAGGGAGGTGAACCAGCCCAGAGAACAAACAATAGCCCCAGGACAAGGTTCATCTGGATGGGGTGGTATCGGAACTGCTCTCTTTCCTGTAACATGCAGTGGTCTCTTTTGGGTGACAGGGTATCCGTGGACAGGATTCAGAGCAGCTGACCATATCCTAGGGCACCCATGGGCTTCAGAGGACGGCCTGCCTATGCCTGCTGCCTCCTGAGTGTGTCCACACTTGGGCTGTGTGTTCTGAGCCCCAACAGTGTAAACATTTGCTTGTATGTTATCTGATGTTGCTTAATGGGATACTTCATAGTTAATTTATGCATTATCTTTTTCACTTCACTGGAATGCTTTTTTGGCATTAACTATAATCCCTGGAAAGTGGGATAAGCAGGGACTATCTCCTGTTATGGAAGTATTAATGCTGCCATAGTTACTGTTTATATTTTTTGGATGCTTTGGTTGTGCTTGGCCCTCTAGACATATCTCTGAGCTCTAGGCCTTTGCCATTCTTGTTGTAGACTGTAAATATTCAGATTCCCACTCTCAGGCATACAGATATGATAATGCTGGTTAGTTTGTTGATTGAAATTGCCATCCAAGGGAAAAAGCCACGGCCATTATCTCTTAAATTGGCACTTGCTGCAGCCTCTGAGGTGAGTACCTTTGTCTTCTTTTCCCTTGTCCCACCTGTCTGCTCTACTCTTTTCAGGGAAGGTACGGTGGCCAGACTTTAACCAAGAAGCCTATGTTGGGGGCACAGTGGTTCGCTCTGGGCAGGACCCCTATGCCCGCAACAAGTTCAACCAGGTGGAGAGCGATAAGCTGCGCATGGACAGAGCCATCCCTGACACCCGGCATGACCAGTGAGTAAAGTTGCTTCTGCTGCGTTGCTAGACTCTTCCCATTGCCCTGGGAAACCGCGTGTGGTGTTCTTCACAGTGTCGCAGACTGGGAAAGATCCTCAGGCGTGGGGCAGTGGGACTCCCCTAGGAAGCAAAGGCTTGTCCCCTGCCGTGGTTCACAAACCATGGCCTGCTGGCCAGGAAGAAAGTGGTACTGGCCTCATATTTGCTGATGACTTAATGTTATGAAGATCCATTCACAAAATTTCCAAAATTTTCCATTGTTCTCAACCTTGGAAAGAAGAAGTGTGAAGTGCTGGTTATTGGGACACTGTGTAAGGTGGAAATGTTTGGAGAGTGGAGAGGAAATTACCCATCCAGCAGGGATGGTGCTAAATGGAGCAGAAACACAGGATACAGGAGTGTGGTGAGCACTCCACACCCCAGTGCTGAAGGAAAGGGCTTTGCTTATGCCCTTTTTTTGTACTTTAGAGATTGATAAAGATGAGCAGAGGGCACCTGGGGTTTATCAAGCTCAACTCAGGTCAGGGCCATCTCTAGCTAGACATTTTAGTATTTTACCCCCACCACCTGGGCAGGTGATAGAGTTGACTCTAGTGCATGCTGGTGGTTTTCCTTGTTGGTGAAAAAGGATTCCCTGTACAGCTCTCAGGGAGCTTCACCAGCAGCGTTGTGCTGCTTACTGCCAGGGCCCCTCCTTTCCCATTCCCCCTTTTCAGCAGCTCTCTTTGGTTCTGGTCAGTTCTGTTCACCACAGCAGCTCGTCTTCAGGACACATGGTTCATGGTCCTTAGGGACCAGAGAAAAGCGTTTAGGATGTAATAGAATATATGACACGTGTGATCATAATTAAACACATTGTACATGACATTAAGAATCTCATCATTTCCCTAAATCTACTCCAGAAGATTATCTGCACTTAGTGTTTCCTGTCATCCAGTAATTTCTTTTGTAAGGCAGTTTTACTCGGACCATATGCCAGTCATTGTGAACCTTTAGAGCTTTCAGTGATAACAAACAGCCCGCTGTGGCACACGTGCCATAGGTCCACTACCACTGCCTTATGCTGTGCTTCCAGTTAAAGTTGGCTTCATTAAATACCGTGTTGAAGCCTATCTGAAATAAGAGCTGCTGGTCTAGGGTTGGGGACTCTTTGGGTTCCCAGGCTTGGAGCTGTGTGGACAGCTGCAGATGGGGAGATGCCCGTGTCTTTGGGGAAGGTCCCAGTGCCTTTTGGACCATCCTGATGTGTGTCCTCACTGCTGTCCACCCCAGGCTAACTGGCCCATTTCAGACGACCCTCAGGAACCTGCTTACAGGAACTTCATAGTATGTGACAGTGGATATGAAGGTTATCTTCATGTCAAGAGAGGGCACATTAGTGACCCAGAGCCACTGACCTAAGGCCAGGGTATCTGTTGGCCTTTGAAGAAGGGTTCAGCCTTCCCCAGGCCATAGAGTCTGGGAGATCTAGTGTAAAATCTGACCTGGGACTTGAGTGGACTGCTTGGAATTTCATCCCTGTGGTATGAGTTTCAGTCACCACTGGTTTCAGTGCTGGTTTCTCTCCAAGCTGTCATTGCTGGTGCTCTGCCTTTGAGCTGAGTGAGAATCACAGGCTTTCTGGGGTCCACAGCAGGTGGGCTTAGCTTCTCTGCTGCCTTCATTGCAAGTCCCTGCAAAGTCCCCAAAACTATATATACACACTTTTCCCTGTGTTCTTGGAGTAGGAGTCGGCCCAAGCAGATGTTTGCATATTTATCCCCTGGCAGAAGTGTCTCAGCGGGTTAAATTTAATCCAGCCTCTGCAACATGCTTCTTTGTGTGTGCTAGAGGAGCAGCTAGGAGGCCTTCCACATTTGCAGGATTTGAGCTAAATTAAATTCTATTCAAAGTGAGTTTGGTACCTGGAATGGAGCAGCTATGACCTCCTTGAAGAGTCAGTTCTAAGACAACTGTGTTACTGAATGTTAGTTAAGGTGTTGAGGGCCAGGGATTTAGCTCAGTGGTTTCGTCACCTGCTGCACAAGCGCAAGGACCTGAGTTCGATCCCTGGTACCAATAAATAAATAAATAAATAAATAAATAAAATAAAATAGAGGTTTTTTTTTTTAAAAAAAAAAAAAAAGGTGTTGAGACATGCTTTGGGATCCCTTCAGGGTCTCTAATGGAGAGTAAATAAAAGATCACCATGGAACAGAGAGCCTTGATGCCTCTCTGGGTGCCTGGCTGCCTTCTGCTTCATCCCTGAGGGTGCCGGGAAGTGCTGATGGCAAGCCAACCGTGCAACGCCCAACCTCCTGATTGGAAGGATGACTTAAAAATCAACTCTTAAGTGGGAGACTGACCCAGTTTCCAGGAAAACAGGTGCCCTCGGGCTGGGCTCCTCAGTTCTTGGGAATCTGAACCATGTATGATAATTTAGAGAGTAAATTTAAAAATCGTTCTTTTTTTTCTTTTTTCTTTTTTTGGTCTCTGCAGTCTCTCCCTTTGTGTAGGTCTAATGCATGCACAGTAGAATTCAGTCTCCAGCTTTGATAAGGTGAAAACAGTGCAGGTGGAGGTTAAGAACAAGAATTTTGGAGGCTCATAGGCCTAGGCTGAATCCCATACTCTCCAGCTCTTCTGTGGCCTTTGTCATCCATCAAGTAACACCTTAACATGTAACCTGTGAGAACTAAACTGTGTACAAGGACCCCCTCAGCAAGGCCTCCTGGGACCTCTTCCCAGAGTGGAGCCCCCTGACCTAACCCAGGTCCCACCCCTTCTCCACTTGATTTTTCTCCACAGTTCTCATCACTACCTGAACACTGTGTGGTTCATGTCTTTATTCCTTTTCATCAGAATAGTGTGGTGGTGCAGCCAGGGATGTTATTTGACACCTTACAGCACTCAAAAACTCAGTACTTATTGAGTGACTGCTCAGCCCAGTGCTTGATGCATGTTCAGTGCCAATACATTGTTGACATCAAGAATCACAGAAGAGAAGAGGGTAAGTGGAGCTCACAGGAACCGCAGAGGAACTGCAGGACCTGCCCGTGTTGTCTCAAGAACTGGAAAGCCACCCCTTGTTACCTCAGGGACAGCTAGGAGGAGCAGGGATTCAGAGCTGAGGAACACTCAGGCTGTTTCGCTTACTTTCTTAAGTGTGTAGAAATATTATGCTAAGAAGGAATATGTACATGAAAGCAGGAAGCTACGTATGAATTTAGGACTGTCAGGCCCTTGTGGACGACACGGAGGAGGTGGCCTGTTGTAGTGCTACAAGCACAGTTTCTCACCCTAAAAAGGGGGCAGTTTTTGTCTCCCTTACTCCATGTTGTTTGAAATTCCAATTAAATTACCAAGACCTAGAAAGAAAGAAATTAAATCAATGGGAATTCTGAAAGTGTCTTTTTGAACACTTGTCCTCTGTCTCCCTGTTGGGATCCTGTTGGCATTGTCCATGCAGAAGGTGAAGTGCCGTGGCCTTGGAAGAGAGCCAGTTCTGTGCCCACGGTGGAAGTGGGGCAGCAGGACGGGAGGGGTGGAGGGTCCAGGGGCATGGCTGGGGTGGGGAAGAGGTGTGTCTCAGGACTGAGAGGAGGAGGCTGGAAGAGGAGCAGGCTGAAGGTGTGTGGGGGTAAAATTTGGACACACCCACTTATCTTGGTGCAGGAGCTCTTGTGCTATGGGGATGGACACATGTGGCACTCAGGAAAAAGGACTTAGTGGGAATATGTATTTGGAAATATTCAGCATATGGGTGGTATTTAGAACCATGAGCCTGGATGTCATCCTCAAGGGAGTGGACACCAATGGAAATGAGAAACCCATGGGCTGACCCATGTTCCATCATCAGGTCTTTAGCTGTGGGCTTACAGCAACAACTAATGCTCTGGGGAAATTGCACTGTAGATGCTCTCAACCCCAGGCTCTCCTCAGAGATTGTCATGTAATTTTCTGAGGTCAAGCAACCATGAAGTCAACAGGAGCCTCCGAGGGTTTCTTATCCAGTGCTCCTCAGCCCAGAATGTGCCACTCTCAGAGTCAGGTGAAAGATTGGGGGCTCTAGGGCTGTCAGGAACTCACAGGGGCTCCTGGCATCACTGTAGGGGCCAGTGGTGCTGTGTTCTAGGTAGGATTGACAGTCCTGCACTGTCCTATCCCTGAGATGTCCTATCCCTGGCACCAGCAGGGCTCCCAGCCACACCTTTGTCTACATGACCCCTTTCTCCCTGCTCAGTGCAAACACACAGGGTGGAATTGCTGCCTCTTTACTGCTCTTGGTGGAACTTGCCTTTTCCACCAGCCAGCCCTCTGAGGAAAGTAAGCCCCTCATGAGCTCTGTGGACCACACAGCTACCTGAAGCTTCTCTGCCTCTGGGCAGCAGAGCCCTTGGAGGTTCAGGTGTCTGTGGATTGTGGTGTGTTGGCCCAATTCATATGCAGAAGTCCTAAGCCTCCAGTGTGACTGCATCTGGAAAGAGCCTTCCTTCTTGGAGGTCATTTTGGCTCAGCGAGGTCATGATGCATCCAGACACGTGTCCTTATGAGAGCAAAAGAGAGGGACATCCCTGCCCACCATGTGAACCCACAGGGTCTGGGACCTTGGCCTCCAGTGCCCTGAGGAAGTTGACATCTCACCTGTGGTGTTCTGTTATGGTGGCCAGTGGCTGAGTGGGAGGGCTGCCTCTTGACCAGCAGGGAGGGCCAGGCCTCTTGGGTCCTGAAGTCACTTCCATTCTCTGAAGTTTTCCAGTGTCTTCTTCAGTGCTACTGGGGTGCAGGACCCAGGAGACCCCTGGTTGTCTCCAGGGTGGGCATTAAGGGGTGACCAGCTCCCAGCTTCAGCCTGTTCAGGATCAGACCTCTTTCCAGGAAGGTCATCTGATGGGAAAGTCAAGTGCAGAATCAAACAACCCAGGGAGTTTGTAGGACCTCATTCTCTCTGCTGGGGAAAGCTTGAGATGGTTTACTTTGTAATTGTTTATGTAACTAAAGTCAAATAAACCTTCATG